TAAGGAGACTCGAATCCTACCCAAGAGAATATTCTCATCGCTTCCAACAGACTTCATTAATTTATTGATCTCAAACCAACTCAATCTGCCTATCAAAATGCATTTTTCTGCTGCAGTTATTGCCTCCGTTGTCGCTTTGGCACCACTTGCCAGCGCCGTTGGCAACGCTGTCGTGACCAACCGCTGCGCATTCCCAGTATACCTGTGGTCTGTTGGTGGCAGCATTGGCCCCAAGCAAACCATTCCAGCAGGCGGCAGCTACACAGAAGCTCTGCACCACGACAGTGCCTCCGGTGGTATCTCGTTGAAGATCACCACTGTTGACAACGGTCTGTACAACGGCAGCCCTCAGACCAACTTTGCCTACACTCTGGACCCAGGCACAGTTTGGTACGACTTGTCTGATGTCTTCGGTGACCCATTCTCCGGCAAGACGATTGTCGTGCGGCCCACACACACGGCTTGCTCGAGCATCTGTTGGCCGCAGGGTGTCAACCCCGGTGGCAGCCAGACGAAGAACTGCAACTCGGACAGTAGTATCAACCTGAACCTCTGTGCAGCCAAGTGTTAAGCGCTGTTCGATATAATGGTGGGGGCAGTGTCCACTAGCATGTGTGAATTGGCCAACGGAGCTGCGGGGAAGGAAGAGCTTTGACGTGGAACCAGTTAGGACCCTGACATGTATGTAGCTAATATGATAATGGGAAAGAGTGTTATATTTAAAGTCCAATCCTGGTAGACACGAGTCTGCCTTGTCTAGAAATACGCCACCGGTAGGTGATAGAGCGCTTATTAGGGCTACGAGGGCCTATCACCGCCTCGGCAGAGCATCTGGGCAGTATTTCCACCAGGCCCGGCTTGATCAAACATCGCCTGTCCCTCAGTTGACTTTGCAACAATCCTTCCCCCTCCATTTGGTGTATAATCCCACACAATACATATCGAAACATATATAAACGCGTCTCATTTTTGGGCTCCCTGGAATTTCCCAGTGCATTGACCTTATCAGTCACGTCATTGGCCTCTCCCCTTGGCAACTGAATGCCTCCAAGGTCCTCTGCAGCAAACCTGTGTCACAAAGGTCTCATTCGCAGCTCAACCCGCCCTTATCCCGATTTGTTGTCACGCATCACTGTGACCAGTCCTCGTTCAGCACAGCCCGTACCTTTACCGATTCTTTCTTCCGTGCATTGGACCCGCCGTTCATCCTCCCATTCAACCCCTAACTTCACCGCCACAACCCCGATCATGGCTCAAATCGAGCGTATTACAGAGAACTTGGAGAAGCCGGAGCTAGACGATCGTTCTTATCGGGTGGTCCGTTTGCCAAACAAGCTTGAGGCCCTCCTAGTTCATGACCCGGATACCGATAAGGCCAGTGCCGCCGTGAATGTCAATGTTGGCAATTTTTCCGATGAAGATGACATGCCAGGAATGGCTCATGCAGTAGAGCATTTGCTGTTTATGGGCACGAAAAAGGTAAATGAACAACCTACCACCTACCACCTACCACCTACCACCGCCACCACCTTCCAAGCCGAGGTAAATGCTAACCGGATCTCTGTTATGTAGTACCCGAAGGAAAATGCATACAACCAGTACCTAGCCTCCCACTCCGGTTCTTCTAATGCCTACACAGCCGCCACCGAAACGAACTACTTCTTCGAAGTGTCCGCCACAGGTGACTCCAGCGCCCCGAAATCAAGTGGAGATAGCACCCCTGCCGAGACAAGTGATAACAATGGCGTCTTGTTGAATGGGAATGGCTTAGATGGGAAGTCGCCCCTATATGGAGCATTGGATCGGTTTGCCCAGTTCTTTGTCGCTCCGCTTTTCCTAGAGTCAACCCTGGAACGGGAGCTGCAGGCGGTGGATTCGGAAAATAAAAAGAACCTTCAAAGTGACCTGTGGCGCTTGATGCAGCTGAACAAGTCGCTTTCAAACCCTAAACATCCCTACAGCCACTTCTCGACCGGTAATCTGCAGACCTTGAAAGAAGATCCACAGAAACGTGGTCTGGAAGTTCGCAGTGAGTTCATCCGGTTCTACGAGAAGCACTACTCAGCCAACCGGGCGAAGTTGGTTGTCCTGGGGCGGGAGTCTTTGGACACGCTGGAGCAGTGGGTCTCCGAGCTCTTTTCCGATGTCAAGAACAAGAACCTTGCTCCGAACCGCTGGGACGATGTTCAGCCATTCACTGAGAAGGACATGTGCACCCAAGTGTTCGTGAAGCCCGTCATGGATACTCGATCCATGGATATGTACTTCCCCTTCCTCGATGAGGAGGATTTGCATGACACCCAGCCTAGTCGATATATCAGCCATCTGATTGGCCACGAGGGCCCGGGCAGTGTTCTTTCTTACCTCAAGGCCAAGGGGTGGGCCAATGGCCTGTCTGCAGGCGCCATGCCTGTCTGCGCTGGGTCAGCATTTTTCACTCTCTCGGTGCGCCTGACCCCCGAAGGTTTGAAGCAATACCAGGAAGTCGCAAACGTCGTCTTTGAGTATATTGCTATGATCAAGCAACGCGAACCCGAGCAATGGATCTTCGATGAGATGAAGAACCTTGCCGAGGTCGATTTCCGGTTCAAGCAGAAGACCCCGGCTAGTCGGTTCACCAGCCGTTTGAGCAGCGTTATGCAAAAGTCACTGCCTAGTGAGTGGCTGCTGAGCGGGTCTTTGCTGCGACGATTTGACTCTGACCTGATCAAGAAGGCGTTGAGCTATCTGCGGGCTGACAACTTCCGCCTAGTCGTTGTGTCCCAGGAGTTCCCGGGTACATGGGACCAGAAGGAGAAGTGGTATGGTACCGAATACAAGGTCGAGAAAATCCCACAGGAATTCTTGGGCGGTCTTCAGAAGGCTCTAGAGTCGACTGAGGCAACCCGCACTTCCAATGTGCACATGCCTCACAAGAACGAATTTGTCCCGACCAGACTCTCGGTAGAAAAGAAGGAGGTGGCCGAGCCAGCCAAAACCCCTAAACTGATTCGCCATGATGATCGCGTGCGCCTGTGGTTCAAGAAGGATGACCGTTTCTGGGTGCCCAAGGCCACAGTCGAGGTAACGCTCCGCAACCCTTTGGTATGGGCTACACCCGCGAACCTCATCAAAACAAAGCTGTACAGCGAGTTGGTGCGAGATTCGCTAGATGAATACTCCTACGACGCTGAGCTTGCTGGCTTGGACTACCATCTATCGGCGAACATTTTGGGCTTGGACATTTCCGTGAGCGGGTATAACGACAAGATGTCCGCTCTACTGGACAAAGTACTCAATACCATGCGTGGGCTGGTTATCAACCAGGATCGGTTCAACATTATCAAAGAGCGCTTGACGCGGGCATTCCGCAACGCCGAGTACCAACAGCCTTACTACCAGGTTGGAGATTATACTCGCTATCTTCTTGCCGAGCGCAGCTGGGTCAACGAGCAGTATCTTGAGGAGCTGGAACATGTGGAGTGTGATGACGTGGTCAACTTCTTCCCCCAGTTGCTTGAGCAGACCCACATCGAAGTCCTGGCACACGGAAACCTGTACAAGGAGGATGCCCTGCGTATGACGGACTCTGTTGAGAAGATCTTGGGAGGCCGTCCTCTGCCTCCGTCGCAGTGGTACTTGCGCCGCAACATGACCTTGCCGCCCGGTGCCAACTATGTCTACCCCCGGTCGCTTAAGGATCCGGCCAACGTCAATCACTGCATTGAGTACTACCTCTATATCGGACTCTTCTCCGATCATGTCCTACGGTCGAAGCTCCAACTGTTCGCACAACTGACTGACGAACCTGCATTTGACCAGCTGCGCAGCAAGGAACAGCTCGGATATGTGGTGTGGAGTGGCGCACGCTACAACGCCACCACCCTGGGCTACCGGGTCATTATCCAAAGTGAGCGCACGGCACAGTATCTCGAATCGCGCATTGAGACTTTCCTCCGCGAGTTCGGCCCCATCCTCGAGAAGATGCCCGAAGAAGAATTTGAGGGTCACAAGCGCAGCGTCGTGAACAAGCGCCTAGAGAAACTCAAGAACCTGAGCTCTGAGACTGGCCGGTACTGGTCGCATGTCGGATCTGAGTACTTTGATTTCTTGCAGCACGAGACTGACGCGGCAAATGTACGCACCTTGACTAAGGCGGATCTCGTTGCATTCTACCAGCAATATATCGACCCATCTTCGGCAACACGCGCCAAGCTCGCCATTCACATGAACGCCAAGTCAGGCGCCCAGGTTGAGGAGCCGAAACTAGCCGAACAGAAAACACGCCTTGTGGAAGTAGCTACCAAGCACCTCGAAGCCTTTGACTTCACAGTGGATTCTGCCCGCTTCGCTACGGCATTCGATGAGGTTGACACGACAGCGGACAAGTCCCAGGTCATCTTTGCTGTGAAGAATTTCCTGGCGACCGAGACAGGCCTGTCACAGCAGAAGATCGAGCCTGTGCTTGAGACACTGGACGAGAAGCTCAGTTCACAGTTGAAGGAGCTGGGTCTTGGCTCTACCAGTGACATTCAGGGTGCGGCTAATGGCAATGGCGAGGCTCAAAAAGCTGTCGTTATCACCGACGTACCGACATTCAAGGCACGTTTGCCTGTTAGTACTGGCCCTGTTCCTGTGGCGGATTTGAGCGAGTATGAGGATTTTGATGCCAAACTATGAATGGTATACATGCGGAGTAGGTTGGGTGTTGGGCTGGATGGTTGCATGAATCCGAGAGTTGGGGTGTTTGCCAATTGAAGAGATAGTGAAGTTCCAGAGATGGACAATAATCCAACGACGTTCAGACAAGTTTTGTCATAGTACCCAGCCGATTGTGTAGTGTTGTAACAAAGCCCTGGAGTACTTCGACCACACGGGTACCTTAAGTTCGGCCTCGGGATAACCTGTGTCCCGGAAGGCGGTCATCCCGATAAGCGATAAGGGACAGTCGATCGGAGCTTTGGGCCCTTTGGGGAGCTCTCGCTGTTCTCGACCACAATAACAACGGTTGCTGTGTCAAAATGGCTACCACGCAGGACGTCCCTGTCAGTGGGCATCCGTAAGTATTCCCGATAAGATTGCGATAACGTTATCGATGTTGCACTTTCCGAATGGGTCAATCTGACACGATAACCTCTAGGCCCATTGTCCCCAAGGACTTCACCGCACAGCAGCCGGAAACTGTCCGCCTTTACCCCCTGTCGAACTATACCTTCGGCACAAAGGAGACCCAACCCGAAGAGGACCCTTCGGTTCTGGCAAGGTTGAAGCGCCTTGAAGAACAATATGGCCTGCATGGAATGCGACGCACCTGCGAGGGAATCCTGGTGTGCCACGAGCACAACCACCCCCATGTGCTGATGCTGCAGATTGCCAATGCATTCTTTAAGCTGTAAGTCATCACTATGGCTTGCGCATATTCACAGTCACTGCTAATAACCTTTAGGCCAGGCGACTATCTGCACCACGAGGATGACGAAATTGAAGGTTTCAAAAAACGTCTGAATGAGCGCCTTGCACCTGTGGGATCTCAGTTCTCCGGCGAAGGTGTTAATGATGACTGGGAAATCAGCGACACACTTGCGCAGTGGTGGCGACCCAACTTTGAGACCTTCATGTACCCGTTCCTTCCTGCACATGTCACCCGCCCCAAGGAGTGTAAGAAGTTGTACTTCATTCGGCTCCCGAAGAAGAGTAGGCTCTAACCCACCATGAGGTCTTCCCAGTAGATATTGCTGACACATAGCCCACTTATTATAGAGGTTCTGTCGGTCCCAAAGAACATGAAGCTTCTCGCTGTGCCGCTGTTTGAGCTGTATGATAACACTGCTCGCTATGGCCCTCAGCTTTCTGCCATTCCCCATCTCCTGTCGCGATACAACTTCGAGATGGTCGATGAGAACGACAACATTGTTGCTGTTACTCCTGGCACCCCGTTGCCTGCTGGCTACACTATCCCCCGAGTCATCCTTAGCGGTGATGGCGCAGGCGACGGACAGGACACTGGTATGACTGGCGTCGAGGAGGGAATGAAGATCGAATCTCACCAGTAGTGGCGAGTCCTTCCGAGAGCAATGAGACGCTAGCCAAGCCTACTTTGTGCCTGAGCACCGAGTGTTCCGGCCAAGGTTATTTGCTGGCAACGATGACGAACAAGATACAGGTTTGACTAGCATTAAGGATAGGATGCTTTTCGAGACTTCGAAAAAAGAAAAGGAGGGAAAATTACAAAAAAAATTCTCCTTCCATTGAAAATGGAATGGGCACAGCCGGTCGAATGAATTTTACGCTTCTAATGATCACACATGTTTAATAATGTCGTCGTAGTTGGATATTACCTCTACAGCATCCATATATAGATACGATCACGGGCGAAAGTGAGTGGCTGGAATTTCTTCTACACCGGACAATCGAACGACACCTGCCCGCAATGCCAAGCAGAAACGAACCAATGCTACTTCTACCCGACATGCAAAGAGCCCAACATGTTCATCTTCATGGCACTCGTATCGCATGGGGAAATAATCACCGTTGAAATAGCCCCATCCTGCGCTATAAGGCACAGGTAAGCGCTCCGCACTCCGCTATCTTACTATGTAGACCGACTGTCATCCACTCGCCCGACGTTTCTCCGTGGTTACATTCCCGGTGACGAACTCAACACCTGCATGAATTCTATGTCGATCGCACCGGAATCCCACCGGTCACGCGTGAAATATGTGCCATAGACCCGGAGAAAAGCCAACTCAGGAAATAATTCAATATACGAGAGGATGGGCGTTGTACCCCGCTCCTCGAAGATATCCCGATTCGTGAAGGATATTGGGATCTATACGAGTCTGCTTGGATTCGCCGGGTGTACATAAGGAAGCCATGTCTGCATGGCTATCTACATATGTATATTCGCCGTTGAAAAAGCCTTACTCCAGATATCTTCATAATGCTTCTTGGTCGACTTTACGGTATCGCTGCTCTTGCAGTGTTGACAGTTGCTGCTCCTTCTCGTCCTGTTCCTCGAGGTATGGATATGCATTCTTTTGTTCATGCCCTCTGATAACCAACTGACGCAAGCAATAGATGTCTCGACTGATGTGCTTAGTCAATTGACCCGATTCTCTCAGTGGGCTGCAGCGTCATACTGCACGAACAATCATGACTCAACCGGTGATGCGTTATCTTGCGAGGAAGGCAACTGTCCATTGGTGGAGTCCGCTGACACAATTTCTCTATACGAGTTTGATAAGTATGAGACCAACTTCCAAAGTCAGTCAAAAACTGTCACTAACACAGTGACACCTATCAGGACCTGCAGCTATGGCAATGTCGCCGGCTTCCTCGCGGTCGACAAAACAAACAAGCTGCTCGTCGTCTCATTCCGGGGTAGCCGCTCAATAAGCACTTGGATTGCGAACATCAACTTTGGCTTGACCGATGCCAGCAGTATATGCAGCGATTGCGAAGCCCACAGTGGGTTCTTGGAATCCTGGGAGACTGTTGCGGATGATCTGAAATCCAAGATCAAGGCCGCACAGACAACATACCCGGGCTACACTCTTGTCCTAACAGGCCACAGCTTCGGCGCAGCTCTTGCCACGTTGGGAGGTAGTGTGCTTCGAAATGCGGGATATGAACCAAATGTAGTGAGTACTATATCTCGAAATCAGCCCTTGATAATAGTGTATACTCACAATGAGACTATAGTATTCCTATGGCCAGCCACGGGTGGGCAATGAGGCTCTGGCTAAGTATATCACGAAGCAAGGCAGTCTCTGGCGAGTGACACATCAAGATGACTTGGTGCCTAAGTTGCCACCTGCAAGTGTTGGCTTTAGCCACGCAAGTCCCGAGTACTGGATTACTAGTGACGACGATACAACGGTGACCTCGTCTGATATTGATGTCATTGAGGGTGTGGGCTCGAAGTCTGGAAATGCGGGGACGTTGAACCCGGATATTGGGGCACATAGTTGGTACTTGGGACATATTACTGCGTGTCAATAGGATGAATATGATGTATATGTAGTTGTCCGGGTGGGACAGACGATATCTACTGCTTAGATGTATATATCTTGGTGAAACCAATTCGATATATATACAAAACACATCAATATATGAAAATTAACATATCTGCTCCTAATTACACTGTAAATAAGCTTGATTTTATATATTTTACTTGTTTTATAGCTGTTATGGCTGCTATGGCTGCTATAATTGTGCCACAGCATCAGAGCTTGGCTGTGGAGAACTTAAACTTGCGACACGTCGACCTCATGTTTCTGACAATTGCAGGATCTTTTACAGCATACTACATGAATTAGTATCTGATCAGTATCTCAAGTATATTCTACTCTCGGATTTCTTGAGCTCCCCCGGGGCATTGATTTCCCGTTAAGACGGCCGTCAACTTTTTCCCCCTCAATGACTTGACCACCTGGGCAGAGTGCCTCTGGCCGCCTCCATCCAACATGTTGTTCGCTCCTAGTGGGCCTCAAGGCCCCCGACGTCGCAGTCGGATGAAGGCTATCTTCATTACCATCTTCATCGTCCTCGCCCTGTACCTTTTATTCTTTACGAAGTCCCCCGTGAAGACGCAAACAGGCAGCTATGCGCAAAAACATGAACATGGATCGACAAAACAACCAGACGAGCTGGCTCGTCCTGCTGTACGGAGACGCAAGGATATGGTAGTCGCCAGCATGAAAAGCGATGACACGTCATGGCTGTCAGAATACTTCCCCGACTGGACGAAAAGTATCTACGTGGTGGACGACAAGCACGCGCCGTTGACGGTGTCGCGCAACAAAGGCCGGGAATCGATGGTGTATTTGACGTGAGTCCAACATGCAATGTGTGTTACATACCTCTCCTACCCCGTACTAACTAGAGCTGTTGAACCAGATACATCATCGACAATTACGATAATCTACCAGACTCAATGCTCTTCATCCACTCCCAACGCTACCAATGGCACAACGACGACCCATACTACGATGGTATCCCGCCGCTCCGAAACTTCCAGATCCCATACCTACAAGAGCAAGGATACGTCAACCTACGATGTGTTTGGACCCTCGGATGCCCGGTAGAAATTCGTCCTCTCACCGATACGCATCGCAGCAACGTACACGCCGGCGAATACTTCAAGAATGGATTTATGGAGCTATTCCCCGGGATCCCAGTCCCGGAGGAGGTAGGCGTGTCGTGCTGCGCGCAATTTGGTGTGTCCCGCGCGAAGGTGCTGGAACGGCCGCGTAGTGACTACGAGCGCTTCCGCACATGGCTGGCGGAGACACCGCTAGAGGATGATTTGAGTGGACGAATTATGGAATATTCATGGCATAGTATGTGTTTCCCTGCAATCCGCTCAGCTCCGATCGAAAGCTGACATTTTCTCCAGTGATATTTGGGAAGGACCCTGTGCATTGCCCCAATGCGAAGGAATGCTACTGCAAAGTTTTTGGTCTGTGCGATTTGACCTGCCCGTGGGAAGGTGGCTGTGATGACCGCTATTCCCTGCCACCATTCTCCTCGTTGCCCAAGGGGTGGCCGAATATTGGATGGAAGGGCCAAGCACAAGATCCTTCTCATGGATTGCCGGAAACTTGAAGTGCTCATCGGGATTGAAGAAATCAGCCACATAAGCTCCCCTTTTCACTGCCTTGGGTTAGGCGTCCTGCCCTGCTGCGTACATGCGCACTCAGATTGCAGTGCTCTAGGATCTATAAATGCACGAGGATATCCATCGCAACTGCGAAAGGATTTCACAGACATTGATACAATCGAATATATAGCGAATTAGTTACTGGAGGAGATTGGAATTTAGAGAATCCAGAATCTCCTGCATAGCTGCGTAGCTGCATAAGTGACTTAGACTGAAACAATTTCCAATGCGGAGCCGAGGCTAGTTTTATCTCCCCGCATTCAACTTCAACTTCTACAACTCTCTCTGCCTTCTCTCTAAAGCCAAAATGCTGATCATCGGGCTCACTGGCTCAATAGCCACAGGCAAGTCAACTGTCTCATCCATTCTCTCTACACCACCCTACTCCCTCCCAATAATCGACGCCGATCTTCTCGCCCGCAAAGTAGTCGAACCCGGCACCGCAGGCTACAAAGCGATCGTCAACTACTTCGGTCCCAGCACACCAGACCTATTATTGGAAGATGCGCCCACAAACCCGAATGGAAAACCACTGAACCGACCGGCGCTGGGGCGGCGCGTCTTTGGTAGCACGGAAGAGCGCAAACGCGACCGACAAGTCCTCAACGGCATCGTCCACCCCGCCGTCCGGTGGGAAGTCTACAAAGCCTTAATCTACCATTACCTGCGTGGCCAATGGGCAGTCGTCCTGGATGTACCGCTCCTCTTCGAGAGCGGGATGGATCTTATCTGCGGAACGGTAATTGTGGTTGGGGTCCACGATCCTGAAATCCAAACTGCGCGCTTGCGCGCCCGCGATGCGCATCTTACAGCCGAGGATGCAGAGAACCGAGTCCGGAGTCAGGGGGATGTGCGGACGAAAGCGACGCAGGCGGAGTTTCGGGGGACGACGGCGGCGCGTGGGGTAGTGATTTGGAATGATGCTGATAAGGCGGAGCTGGAGGTTGCGGTTAAGGGGGCTATGGGTAGTATTGCGGCGTCGAGTCCGAGATGGTGGGCGTGGGCGTTGTTGGTCGTGCCGCCGGTTGGGGTTGGGGTTGCTGCTTGGAATTTGATTGTGAATTTTGCGACGCAGAAGGGGTGGGAGAAGAAGAAGCAGGAAGAGAAGGCGAAGCTTTGAGGGTTTTGCTTCAAGAGCCAAATCGCCACTTAGGTATCTCTATGTAGTACCTTTTCCGTGGCTTTACGCTTTTATTAGGGCAGAGTCAGCCTAGACTTAGTGAGGTCCTTAGCAGAGCCTGGGACCTAGTATATATAATGTACATTGATTATAATTGTCGTGTAGAATATCTTCAAATTTTCATGTCGGACCCTCGCCATTTACCAAGTCCTCCAGTAACACATGCTAGCCAGTAGCGATGTGAAGCCGATCACGTGGACCAATTTTTGAAAGAACTTCCCCAAGAGGCTTTTGGGAACTCCTTTTGGAATTCTCACTTCCATTGTGTACCGGAAAGAGGCATTCATCTCGTTGGAAATGAAAGCAATGGTCTTTTGCTGCCCACGGCGCATTTCGACAAAATGAAGAGATGAACAGAGTCCTGAATGGGCAGAATAGACGGGGCTCAAGGGTCATTTCTGATGCTTCCTCTATGAGAGTGGAACCGTTGCACTGGACCACAGATCTGAGATCCCTTGGACGTGATAGAATGTGGAATCATCGTAAAGGGAGAGAGTGGCAAGTCCCACAGCCTCTTTAACCTGCAAGGGCTTAAAGGGCAGCTCTGTCCAGGTCAATAGACGATCTGTATTTGTATTGCTGTCTGCCTTGTTGGAGAAGAGCATCCGGAACTGAGACTGGGAGTGTCTGAGAGGATGATCGTCAGCACTCCCTAGAGGATTGTATGTAGTTGAAGCTGGACACTGTATTGCCCTTGGCTACAGCGCCAGTAATTCCCCTCAATGAGAGTTTGAAATAGCCCTTCCACATGCTTGCGGGCCTTTTTATATTGTTGTAGAAGGGGGCTCCAGGTCTGGCGCCTTCTTTTGCTTGCTTCCCGGTGATTGGACTGGTCAATCGGAGTCTTCAATATTGTATTTCCCGCGTTGATCTTTGTAAGGAGATCGTCGTAAACCGCTTTGCTAAGGATCTTACGGGATTTCCATAGATCCTAGGTTTCGGGGGCTGGCTGATAGGATCCAAGGTGAGTACAAAACCGCCATATAGTATAAGAGTAGACAAACAGATCACTCATGTTCGTCTAATCTTCACCAATGTGTAACTTTCGAGAGAGATATTCTAGCAAATCCGAGAGGGAAGGCACATTTGTAAGAACACATCATAATTTCGGTTCAGCTTTCTGCGGAGACGACTTTGCAGAGCTGCGTTTGCCCATTCTTCGCCTTGTGGGTTATTGATGAGTTGAGATATCTCATCTTCGTCGTCGACGACCCCTTCGACTCTAGTATATTCAGCAAGATGGTGCGCTGTGTTTGAAGTCCCATCGAATATCCTTTGAAGTCTCGTCGGTATCGCCTTAGAAGCCTGATCTTCTCAATGCCGAGAGCGTAGGCATCGATCTGGGTTATAATAAGAGGAAGAGTAGCAAGAGCGAGGCCCGCCCCGATGCCATTCGCCATCCTTGTGCCTGTTGAGTCAAGATGAATTTTCTGTGAGCTGACTTGTCAACCCAACCCCTCTACAATACCTCGCACTATACGGGGACCAACCTTCGACTCCAACAACAAATCTCGATGAGTTCCAAAAAGGATGGCAACTGTGCCAGACCCATTCAGAACTGCATATCCAGTTCCACTCCTTAATTGCTTCGGATAGCCTCACTAGATATATCCTCGAAGTTCGCCTGCAAACATGGTGGGACGAATTGGGTCGATTACGAGTATGGGCCACAAAAACGCAAACAAGAGCCAGGGAATTGATCCAGAACATATAGAATCGACCATACCAGAGGCTCCCGTTAACGATGTATACAAGAGAAAAAAGAAAGAAAAAAAAAGAAAGGGCCCGAGCCCGGGATTGAACCGGGGACCTCGCGCAATATTGCTTTGGGTGAACCCTAAGCGCGAATCATACCACTAGACCACCCGGGCAGTTGTTGTAGAATTCAGGATACCTTAGATATAGGAGAAAGCTCTCCAATTTTCTTTTATTAAAAATAATTAATAGTTAAATTATAGCTAGTTAAGTAACTAAAGTTAACCCGTGCACTGTCATCTGAATTAGAAAGGCATCCATTATATACGATCCATACAAGCAGGTTGATGCATACAAGCAGGTTGCCCTAAAGGAAGCTGCAGCTTCTGTTGAAGAATGGAAGCTCGAGCAAGAACGCATCAAACAGAAGGAAAGGAGCCGCGTGACCTTTGCACAGAGGATGAGATTGAGCAAATCCTTAAGGAAAAAAAGAGAAGAAAAGGGGAAAATGGAAAATGGAAAAAGAAACGAGACAGTTACGTGGATACGTGGATTAAGGTAAGTGACCTACATCCATCGTCACATAACCCTGGAAATAATAATATTGACGCTGTTCTCTAGGTCTAGTGCAAACACCCGATGCCAGAAACATTGGAGGCATATAATTTGCCTCGGGGTTGGGATGAGGTTAGTATACGATGAAAATATATATGGTATATGTCTAGAGACTAATGCTGTCTGATATACATAGCTCGACACCGGCTACATTATTATCAAAATGTGGATACACGAGGACTTTCAGGAAGAGCTCTTCGCCCGCACCCGTGTATGCGCGAGGGAAAAGTCGTTGAAACATCCCACTCCATGGCCGGATTGAAGGTCAATGACGGGGGAAAGGAAAAGATGTTCCTGACCCGGAAGAAGAGCCCTAGCGGTCGACTAAGGCAGTTACAATAGAGGTGTCGCCAGGTAGATAGTCACTAGCAACAACTAGTTTCGACGACATTGCTCATAGATATGTATCTACCTGGCGTGTAGTGGACAAAGAGAAGTTTCTAGGTCAAGGAGTATAGTGGTTGCTAAGCATTTACCATCAGGTGATACTGAGAATGAATTGATTGATAGAACCCCAAGACGCCATACATGCTACGCTAAAACGCCAATCAAAACATCTGAGCTGGATATCTTGAAGATCATCCGTTTAGTGGCTCTTGCGCTTCTTCTTCTTCTTGTCAGAGGATGGGGCTCCCAACAAAGACCCCCGACCAGACCCAGATATACTAGTGAGATCAGACAGCTTCGTCGGTCGTGTGTTTCCTCTCGCTTTGGCTTCTGCCTTGAGTCTGGCCTTTTCCACCATTTGGGCAACCTCTTGTGGATTCGACGGGTTGATTATGGTGTCTTCATCTTCATCGGGTGACTAAGAAAAATGAGTACAAAACATCAAGTGTGAGATAGTGAATACTGACCTTGCGCTCCTTGCGCTTGAAATTGCCATACGCACGCCGTCCACCAGAGTAGGTATCGTCATCTGCATCTAACGAATCTGCTGCCAATACCATAGGCTGCCGAGTGGACTGGGGCGCAGCAGGGACATCTAGAACCCACTGTGTCTCACCGGCCTCTGCAGCTGCTCGTGCGACAGCTTGCTGTCGCTTTTCTTCCTCGGCAGCAAGTGCAGCGGCGATCGCATCCATATCTGAGGTGCTACGGCTCTCAGCCCCGGTGGAAAGACGAGGCCGCTTGGAATTGTGTGAGCTGTCATCAGAAGATGGGCTTTGAGTCTCTTTTGCAGCTGCAGCGCGTCGCATAAACTGGGATATAGTGTTAGTTAGTTGCATGGCTGCTAATCGGGAAACTGTCATTCATACCTTCATGGTCAATAGATTTGACGACATGGTCTTCTCAGGCTTTCCAGCCGGGGAGGAAGAGCCAGCCATGATAGGTTGAAAGCAAAATCTCAATGGATATAATACCCAACTTTTAAAACAAGAGAAAGATTTCGAACCACTTTCACTTGCGAAGCGCAAAATAAAATGACGCGGCAGAAAATCCAAAGTGCAGGTGGAGCTATCTCGAACCAGCAAGCGGTGACCACCCACCAAACCACACCTCACGGATTATTCAGTGCCGACTTGCACTTGGTCCCTTGCCCAACGCTCTTTTTGTCCTCCGTCATAACCAACAAACCCGGGGAAATTGCCCAGTATGATGTCCTGTGGCCGCAGAATTGCGACCTTTTCGTCGGTCCGCCCGCGCTTCATTGTCCGCGCATACTCCTCGACCGTGCCCCGTCTGAACGAGAACCGTATCCCAGCCAACGACCCGACCCCGCGGAAGCCCACGACGAATGTCTCTGCAACCAATGCCGAGCCTACCGACGCTACTCTCCCTGAGGCACCCGAGGTTGGCGAGCGCATCCGGAGCATGCAGGCCCCGAACCGCGCTACCACCTGGGCCTCCAACCAGCAGCCGCGCGAGAAAGCCATGGTTGGACCTCGCTTTGAGCAGACCATTATGGAGACTCAGGTGCGAATCAATTGAAAACAGTAGTGCTTGTGCAATTGCTGTTGGCAATGCATATTTGGTCCGAGACTGACTTGCTACTCTTTAGCCGCGACCATATGCCGCTATCGAGCTCATTCACAGACAGCCCGTCCGCTGGACAAAGTCCAAGGTTGTCAGCTGTGACGGTGGCGGTGGCCCTCTCGGCCACCCCAAGGTCTTCATCAACACCGACAAGCCTGAGATCGCTACCTGCGGATACTGCGGTCTTCCCTTCGTATGTCCATTTATATCCGCCGTCCTCCCACCGGCTAAGACTGGATCTTCGCTAACATCTCTCTAGGCCCATGAACAGCACCGCGCTTACTTGAAGTCCCTGCCCGCTACCAGCTACCCCCTCGAGCCCACCGGTGACGCCATTGAGGTGAACGAGTCTCAGCGTGTGACAGAGGGTGGCTTTGAGCAGCGATAGACGGCTAGCATGAGATTTACTTTTATCGGCGTTGCACAATTTGCGTTTTTCAATTGGTTTTGGGCCTGAGGCCGTGTACAGAATATCGATGAATGGATCCGCTGCTCTTCGATCGTGTGTGATGATGGTATTGTCCTCAAAATGTGTGTACTACTTCCACTACCTGCATATGATGGTCTCGTATAATCTGGGTCATATGTCCTCTCTCGCGCCAACAAAAATCCCTATTTTTATCTTATATCATTCGAAGCCGGGACATCCTAGATAAATCACAATTGCCCGCGCTCCTCATCCAGTCAAGCCTTCTGGCCCTGGATCGTCGCGACAACCTTGCGACTGTGCCGGCTCGTCCGGAACTCCAGGTACCAAATGCCCTGCCATGTTCCTGTTGCCAAGCGACCGTTCGTGATAGGGATATTGACTGAAGCGCCAATGAGGGCAGATTTGATGTGAGCCTGTTGGGAAATTAGTGCTTTGTTTCGAAGGGAGAGTAAAAAGAACCGCAGAAGCTAGTCAGAGCTAGAATCTTGAAGGGAACATAGCGATCTAACAAAAATTTCCAATCCCCAATCCCCGGCTATCTCCAAACACATACCGGCATATCATCCTCGCCCTCGGCAGAATGACGATACAAATTCCCCTTCTTATCCATAGGCGCAATACGATCCAGCGCATCGCTCATATCGGCGCGAACATCGTCGTCCCAGTTCTCGTTCAACGAAAGTGCACAGCTGGTGTGCTGCACGAATAGATTCAGCATGCCGACTTTGTAGTCGCGGATCTCGGGGACCTCCTGGAGGACATGGTCGGTGATAAGGTAGGAGCCGCGACTGCGAGAGGGGAGAGTAAAAGTCTTTTGAGACCAAGACATGGTGTATAGAATTGGAAGATGTGTTGCTGAGAGTAACTGGGAGAATATAGAGGGGCAGAAGAAAATAAGAGGGTTGTGATTGGGTGGGTTCTCTGATGTCATTGGATCTACTTATATCTTGAGCGTCCAGGGCATCTTGGGCAGGAATATTCTTTCTCTTCGGGTAAAGCAATTGGTTTACATGTACTACATTACTGTTAGTTTTTTGACAGGTCTAAGCCGTTGTTCTCACTCTTGACGAACTCCTCCTCTCCGCCCCAGCGTTAGAGCTATACAGATGTGATACAGCTGTCACCACCTCAACAACTTGGACAACATGTATCGAGATTTGTCTTTCAATAGTATTCAGTTCAATAGTATTCAGTAATCACCCCGAAATATCTTGGGTTCAAATGGAGCAACTCTCATCCCTGAGTGGCTTTTCCCCCACTGTATTAGTAGAACACCATTGAGACCTAGTGCCATGACTATCTGTTTCTTTTGCTGACTACCTAAATACTATGCATCTGCATCGTAAGGTGGCAGATACTGCTCATCCGCAAATAGCTCCACGAGATGGTATCGACGATGCGCCGTGAAGAGTATAATCATTCCTTGGGTGAAATTCTGAACTAAAGCGAGCAGCGATGGACTATTCCGAAGCTGTTTATAAGCCGATTTTGTGACCTACAGTAAACTGTTAGTAACCTTTACCATTGCAATATATATGTATGTTGGAACTTGCACTAGGCGTATAGCTCGTGAGATACCGCAAGATATCCAAATGCTGGACACGATGTGCGTCGGCGAAATTCGCGACGAAATTGCCCGTTTCATCGTCGAGACAGAACTCTTTGTAATATGACATGATATCATTGCTAAAATCAATGAAGAGCATAAGCTCTAGGTGCCGGGGAAATATTGCGTAACGTATTCCTCTTCGGGAAAGACGGAGTTGGGATAGAGCAATCGGAGCAAGATCTCTGGACCCCCGACCCTAGTTCGTAAGAACATAGGCATAGGGCGGGACTCGGATGAGATCTTGAATTTGGACTGGTTGATCTTGTACTCGATGGCACGGCCATTGGTATAATAAAGCATGGCTTTAGTTATCACAGAGTGGCAGTATGGACCGTAATAATGCGATAGGTTGCGAAGGTGAGAATCCAACCCAGCCAGGATAGGATGCTTGTGGTGTCTGATTCAGAATAAAAGTAGATCAGCATATAGTTAAATGCTTATAATGAAGTTAAGCTGTAGACTCACTTCTGACCAAATGCTTCAAGATCCTCTATGAATTCCTCCGCCACATCGTCCACTACAAACATATACACGAATTGAATGGCAGCTAGCACCCTCAGCTCCATTATATATAGATGCTACTCTTGTCAAACAGATCTGAGACCCCTGCTGCACGTTAGACAACCCCTCTTTAAGTAGTACTTCTGTCATACGAGATAATATATTGCCATGAATTATCAGTCTTCCTCCGTCGCTACCCAATATGCGGGGAGCATTTCGTGGTTATGACTTCATCGGCTCTTCCGGAAGACCCTTACTGACGACAATCGCTTTGAAAATCATTTCCTCAATTTCATATTTTGTTGAGCTCGTGAAACATGAGTTCCTCCGTTGACCCCACCTCTCTGCTAGTGTCCGCGGCAGTCCCGGCATTCAAGTGTCCGGCTGGGACAAAGATGCACATCCTGAACTTGGGCACCCTCCAGGCAGATGAATCATGGTTTGTATTTGCCAATGGGAGGTCAAGTCGTGAGCTTCTTACTAAGCTTACATAGGATCCTCCGAGGTGCCAATGCAAGCTCCTTGAGCAACCCTGATCCAGTGAACAAACGTCGAGATTTAGTGCTCCTTTCGGCTCTCATTGAGTATCCGGGAGTTGGCCTCATTCTGTATGAGACGGGCTGTGCTGAGGATATAGACGTGGTTCGTTGGAACTTATCGCCATGTTCCTTGTGCATAACTAATCAAAATACAGAAATGGCCAGCGCCAGTCACGGATGTCTTCCCGCGAGTTGAATACTCGGACAACCATAAACTCCCCAACGCTATCAAAGCCACTGGGAACGACATCAAAGACGTGAAAGCGGTAATCATTGGCCACCTGCACCTTGATCATGCCGGGGGACTTGAGCACTTTGTGGACACAGATGTCCCAATCTATGTCCACGAAGAAGAGTTCAAGCATGCTTGCTGGGCGGTAGCAACCGGGGCGGACTTAGGTGTCTACCTAGGACACTACATGCTGCTGGAAAAGCTGAAGTGGAATACCTTCACCGACTCACAACTTGACCTTTTCCAAGGCATAACCCTCCACCATTCACCTGGCCACACACCTGGACTATGCATTATGCAAGTCAATCTTGCCAATGATGGACCATTCATTTGGACCACGGATCAGTTTCATGTTGCGGAAAACTATGAGCTCGGTCATCCCCACGGGGCATTAGCTCGGGATCATACTGCGTGGTATCGCAGTCTCAACATGATCCGCAGACTTCAAAGACTGTACGATGCGACTATGATTTTCGGTCATGACAAGGAGGTTGCCTTCAAGCTCATAAATGCAAAGCCATTCTATGATTGAAGGTCTGCACTTCAAGCTTGCTGTCAGCCTGCCACTTAATCAAATGAAGACGTCTTTCCTTTCCCTCCCGGAGCCGATGTTGTCGAATGCCAGCTTGTAGCTTTAGTTTGACCGGACCGTAGAAGCGCAAATAGAGGGGGAATTTAACCTGAGAGTGTTAGAACTGGTATTTCATTGAATTTCCCAAGTCCTCGACAACAAGTTGATCGATGTTGAAGGGAACTTCGGAAGTGAGACTCTCCCTAATAGGAAAGTAGGTCGGCTAACAACATTGACCAACCAGAAGCATTGTTTTGAACTTTATTTCCAATCTATACTTACCTAAATAGGAAGGTAAGGACTGGCTTCAGTCTTATTAAGGAAAAGATGGTGGGATAATAGATAAATAGAGACAAGAGATATACTATGCGCAGTATTGAACTGATAGCCATTTCTGGTTTCTTATTCTCTCCCCCTTGCCTAGTGCGATGAACCCATCCCGTTGATCTGAAGCCTGACATCCTGGGTCATTCCATCCGTCGAGACAAGCCGTGCTTCAGTTGCGCTTTCCTCCGGGAATATCTGAGCCGTCAAAGAAACCTCTCCTTGACCTCCCAAGACCTCAACGCTAGACCAATCCACGAAGACCTGCAAGTTGATACGTTTATCCGCGCTTGCTGACAGTGGTGCGCGATACAAGCTTGCGAAGGTCTTGTCAAAAGATACATCTCCTGAGTTTCGCCGATCCACGAAGACCTCTTTGCTGGTAAAGTTGTACCCGATAAGTGTCTCTTGCTTGAAGTCGGAGCTAGCACGGATAGCAATCGCAAAGGTAGATTCCAGGGAATCGTCGGAGTCATGATCAGAGAAGCTCAGGTCGATCTTGAACGCCTTGCCTGGGGAGTCAAGGCTGGTTGGTCCTTCCGGCACAGATTTCCAGGAACGTCTCAAGGCCTCGCGGTCGGCAACAGTCCGCCAGTTCTGCTGCGGTTGTTGAAGGAGGGTCACCTTCTCATTAACCGTCTCCAAAGACAACTGGCGGGGAACAGACATGGCACTTCGCCAAGGGTTTGTCGGGATCAGTTCTCCATATTGCCAGTTATTCATCCACCCGATCTGGACCACCACTCCATCAGGAAGTCCGTTATAGCTGGCGGCAGCATAAAAGTCCGGACCGAAATCCATCCAATTGGCAGACTTGTTGTCCGGATAGATGTTATCAGGATCAGCGTTGAAAGTCGCTCCGTCGAAGTCGCCAATGAAGTATTGCGTGCCTGATCCGACCGTGCCAGGTGGGCCACCAGGGTTGAGTCCCAAAACCAGTACCCATTTCTTGGTCGATGGGTCTCCCTTGATGGGCATTTGGAACAGATTGGCACATTCCCATACGCCGCCGACGGCATTGTAGGGTCCGAATTCGCTGGCGAAAGACCACTCTTTGAGGTTGTCGGAACTCCAGATTAGAAGTTTGTGGATTGCTGCCGCAACTGTGACGGCGATCCATTTTTGTGTATCGTCATGCCAGAACATGAAGGGATCCCGGAAGTTTGCGAATTCAGCTTCATAAGGAGAGGGTGGGTTGTGAATCACGGGGTTCTCGGTATCATATGTTGTCCAGGTCTCGCCCTCGTCGAGACTGTAGGCAATTGACTGAGATTGCTGCTCTGCGCGAACGTGTTTTCCACTTGGCAGATCTTGAGCGACGGGATACTTTGTAAAGAACGGTTGTTAGTCTCTATGAGTGATCAAGTGAAAATAATTAATCGTACCATAGAAGTATACATGGCGACCAAAGGAACCTTTCCATCAACACCGAAGCCACTCGTGTTATTCACATCCGCTACCGCACTTCCCGTGAAGTACATCTCGGTGATAGTATCGGGATATCCTCGAGCAAGTAGAGCAACGGGGCGCTCGTCCCAGTGGTTTAAATCCCTACTCGTTGCATGCCCCCATGACATATTCCCCCATTCAATACCACCAGGATTATATTGGAAGAAAAGATGGTAGGTGCCATTGTGATACAACAGTCCACTAGGATCGTTCATCCAATTTTTCCTGGGGGAGAAATGGTATTGAGGACGATACGGTTCGGTATAGTCCAGGCCGGATGCCGTCCCGGCGAGAAGGCCGAGGGCCATTGTGAGGAACATGCCCATCTTGGAATTTGATGGAAGTCTCTATGCAAACACCTACTATATTCCATCAGGGAAACCCGTACAAAATTTATACTTGACAATATGCCTCATCTACCCCCCCATCCCACATTTCATACTTCTTCGCATTGCCCGATGGGATCTGCACCTTCTGCAAATCTCGGGGAAATACAAACTCTCACACTCTACGTTATTATAGAAACAACTAAACAATCGGCAAGCCCCCGGAGCTATGTCGCTGAAACTCAGAAGTAATCTCGGAGCTCAAGACATTGTAATCTTCACACCCCGCACATATCGCGGGGGTATGTGCGAGTAGACAATGCAACTCAGGGGACTACAAAGTATTTTCTCCACTACAATGAAGTATAATGAGGGATTTCTACTATCTACCAGCCCCTCTAAGTCGGCGACTCTTCGATATTAGAAATCAGAACTTGACCGTGGTTACTTGGCGCAACGCGATTGATAGGTACATCGGGAGTACCTCACAATATCTTGCAGGCTGGTGACGTAGTATTCCTCGCTCGTGAAATGACCCCCAATCAGGGCAGATGAAGGTTTAACTCTGCCTGCAACCCAGGATGCACTCTGGTCAGTGGCACTAACATATAATCCTGGGCGTGTCCTTCAGGTCTGAAGTGTAGGGCACTGATGCTGCTGCTGGTGTCCGAGGGCAGAGGGGTGAAAGCTAGTGGCATGAACCGGACTGGTGTCGTCCGCACTGTCATTCTGCGGCAATTGCTTAAGCCTGTCGTACGTCTGCTTAATGTTTTCAAATATTAAGCCCATGATCGAGAATAAGTCTCCATTCTCTGATATAGCGTGATCACCGAGTGATACACTATTGAAGCGACTGCAGAATGCATCTAGCACGCAATCAAAGTCGACGGTCGTTCGCGCAACTCGAACATCCCAGTCACGAAGCTGGGGAATCCCGACTGTTAGTCTATAAATGATGGCTATAGCATATGTAATGCCAGACCACTGCGTGTAAGAGAGACTGCCGTATTCAGATGTTGGGATAGAGAGGAAATTCTGAGCGAGCTGCCCTGCAGATTTCAAACAGAGAAAGAGGACCTCCAATCGAACTTGAGACGTAAAAGATGGGTCTATTGAATCTTTTGAAGTCTTTTGCCGCATTTTTGTTGCAGAGATAGTGACGAGATCCATCTCGTAGACATGCATTACAGCAACATCACGAGCCAGGCTCATCCCGTCTATGGCATATTAGCATCGGCTGCATTGGATTTTCGATCAATTGAACTTACTTGGTTGCTGCCATACGAGTGGAAGCGAGTGCTCCCACTGCTTGAATTCGACTTGAAAGGATTGGACCTTCATTTCAACGTCTAGGCCATCCATGTGGTCATGTATAATGTTGCCAACATTTGAAAGGCTGCGGTGGTTCACCTCGGCCATGTTTTGAAGCTGGACGAGCGGCAAAAGCAATGCGTCCGTTGGATGCTCTAATTCTTCACCCAACGATCTCGCACATTCAAGCATATAGCTTTGGAATGGGATACTATTCGGCTTCATTGTGATCCAGCCGGTGCTAATACAGCTTTTATTAATACACTCTCCATTCTGGGCGATGATAGGTTTTATCGGGAAAATAGGATCGAAAAGCCGAAGGACTTTGGGGGGACTACTTACGTCCTCGAAAGATAAAAGCAGCCTAAGTATGCTCGGCGGGCTTCTCGGCTAAAAAACTCATCGTGGTCGGCTGAAGGTGTAGAGACTTTGCGGTAATGTGTCAATCGAAGTCCTATCTTCCTACTCATCGCCTCGGTAGGTCTGAGGTTCAAGCCCATGTCACCAACCATGCCAATTGCGATATGAAGTAGTTGGTTGAACTGCTCTTTCTTGGGAATATAATAAAAGTGATACCTAGAGTAAGTGTTGGTTAACAGATTTGAACCAAGAGTATTAAATTGGTATAGTCTACTCACCATGCCAAGTACACCAGGATCCCATTTAGGAGATCTAAGCTCCTTTCATTGTGAACCATAATAGTATGGAGAGCACAAGTTCTAAATTTGTCACCGAGGGACTTTTGTAATTTCTTGTCTGAGGAGGTCGCTGCCGCCAATGCTGCCACTAGGACGAAAGGTTGTTCATTACACATTGTCAACACAGTCGCGTGACTGGGAACCATGAAAAATGGAAAGTAAGAGGTCATGGTACGAAACCGACTGAGTAATCCATCAGCAGCGTCAATGGACAGACCGCACTCAAGCAGTAGTTCAGGGCAGGATACGCCATTGATTTTAGGATAGCCAGCCCACTTATAAAGAGGCCGATGGGGGGGGTTTACACTCGTGCCGTTGTTATGGCTGCTGCTAGGCGTGGAATCTTGTACCCCGTGACTGGAAGACGAATCATCGGTAGACAAGCCATTTTCCAGAAACTCCGCCTCGCGCTGTGAAGGTCCTTGCCCGTGAATCAGTTGGGACTGGCTAGCGAAAGCAACCAGGTTATCGAACTTCGACTCCAGCGCACAAATCCGGGCTTTTGAGCTATGCTTTGGTTTGCGTTGCCGCGGTGGCTGCGGTTGTCGCTCCAGAAATACACAAGTCCTTTTAGAATTCACACACTTTAGGCAGGTGCCAGGTTCAGAGCTTGGAAGACAGCGGACCTTAAGCGAGCGGCATGTTTCGCACGCTTGGGAGGCCTTGTTCAGCCCTCGACCCATTGAGTCTATTTCCGAATGAGAAACGCAGGGAATGCCAAGGTTGCGGGAGACCTGAGCTCAGCTCGGAGGGAAGCGCTGGAAGTAAAACGAGTCAAAAGACACCATCTGCTCATCTGTTGGGAGAAGGACGGAACGGAAATTCAATTTGCATCTCCGATCCGCGATTTGACTAAGCTGAGGGCTGACCCGTGGACCCGTCAGTGGATCCGTGGGGGAGCGGCTCCATGGATCGGAACAAGAAGCACAACTCTACCTCCGTTCCGCGATATATCAAAGAGTTGGAGATGGTGAAAATTGATTGGGGTAGATCATGTTTCTACGCATTTAAAGAGTTGATGCCATGGCCATTTTTCTAACTTTCCTTCATCTTTCATCTCTACCACCATCCTCTGTCAAGCAATTCACCCGCCATGGCGCCTATCCAGTTTGGTGTTATCATGATACCATTTCAACTCATCGACGTTGCAGGCCCCGTGGATATCCTATGCAGCTCCTCTGTTCCTTATCTAAGGGGATTCGGCAATCCCGGCCTAGCTGAACGTGGTATCGATATCGAATTCCACTATATCGGCGAGGGAATGGACCCTGTAACCCATAATTCAGGTTACAAATCCCTGCCTACAACGACTCTGTCTACTTGTCCTAAGCTTGATTATCTCCTAATCGGTGGTCCTGGGCCGGACTATCTCAAATCGATCCCGCCAGCGATAGCAAGCTTTGTGTGCGAACGAGCCGACGAAGTCAAGACCGTATTCACTACTTGCACCGGCGGCATCGTTGCTTCCGCGTTCGGTCTCCTGGATGGCCTGAACGCCACGACGAACCACGAAGCCATGGCGCTCGCGCGGGAACTTGGACCCAATGTCAAGTGGACGGCAGAAAAGAATTGGGTCGTTGACGGCAAATTCTGGACTGCTGGTGGTGCATGCGCTGGCATGGACATGATGGCTCATTGGGTCATGGAGAATTACGGAAAGGACATAGCCGAAGCCGGATTTGCAGCTCTTGCGTATGAGCCTCGCGATGTGGATGGAAAGCAGGTTATCTTAAGAAGGCATGCTTCAGAGTGATCGAGTCGCAGTTATCTGGAGAGCAAGCAATTGGGAACTTCAGAGTCAAACACGCTGTGGGTTCAGAATGCCAAACATGTAGTGGATACTTTCTTTCTTTTTCACCATCTTAATGCATACTTGGCTAGGCTGTATTGGAAGCGAGCCAAGCCCAGCATTCTATCCTTAGCTACATAAATTGCATTAATTTTGATTCAAGGTTGTACCATATAATACTCTCAGCTCTGGGATAAAATACCCACATGGCTCCTGTTCAGCTTGGCGACTAGGATAACTTACAGCACACACGTGCGGGATATCTCGGGGTACTCCGGGGCTAACGCAAGACCCGCATGCCACGATGTGACCCTTAGCAGCTCATTGCCTCATTTGGAAATAGGTCCCTCAGCATTCTTGTGGTATTCCCAGCTATGCTGTCTCCAAGTATGTATTTAATGAGATATTGGCACCACTCCGAATGTCGAGTCACTATCGCAATCCTATAACATTCAAACAGCCAACCATGCACTTAAAGCTAGGAGCTAGCTTGGCAGCTCTGATCGCCAGCCATGTGGCAGCTCTCTCGCAGATAACAGATGACGAGATGGGCTCACTGCTCGATGCAGGCGGCGTAGATCTAGCAGACCGTTACGCACCCGTGTGGTTCTTTGGCCAAGCCCTAAATCAGCCACCCTGCTACCCGACTTGGGCATATGGCGGCTCACCAAACACTGCAGATGTCTATGATGACACCCACAAGACACCGGGAGCATCACAGTGTGATTACCCAGACGTCGGGTGCAATTGCCGCAACCCTGGGGTTGATGCCGGGAATCCGGGACCTGCATTTCCCGTTTATTATACATACCAAAGATGCAGCGATACCGAGGTGCGTGTCGTGTATAATCTCTTTTACGAAAAAGACGGCGCAGAGTTTATTGGCATCGACACTGGACATGACTAGTAGGTGGTCCTTTCTTCGGCTCAGTGAAATATTGCTTGTTCAACCTATCTCTAACATCCGTTCCAGCGACTGGGAGCGAGTAGTAATCATCCACTCTCGGGATGACAGCAACATGTGGGCGCCATCCCGCGCCCTGCTCTCTGCACATAGCGGGTACCACAACCTAGCCTGGGGGGATATCCAAAACACCCTGACAAGCGAAGAGGTCAATGCCGGAAGTGGGAAAGACCCGAACGGAGTACAGAATAATGATCACCCCAAGGTGTACGTGGCGTGGTCGAAGCATGCTCACTTCGACACTCGCAATACCGGTTGGAATGACCCGGCGAGTCAGTCACTGGAAAATGCATTCCGGAGCGATGATTGGTGGCACTTTGTCGAGCCACAGTACTATGTAAGTTATTCTTTTGCAACGGGAACAAATACTCATACCTTGTTAGATCCGGGCCGACGATGGTACGGAGGCTGGCAAGGTTATTGGGGCTGCTGATTGGGGTAGCGCAAGTAGTGACCCGGTTTCGGTGCACTCCGGTGTGTGCGGTGCCTTATAGTTGTTACTTCAAGGTTGGATGGAACATCGTACATATGTTCGGCTTCTATACCCATGTCCAATTGTTACCTATTTATACAATCAAATCTTTAGATCCATTTGGCTACTCCCTTCGATCCCATAATCATACATACCTCTGGCCTATTGGAGTATATCGTAATCATTTCTCGACTCCGATTGGAATACCGTCGTCATCCATTGGGACACTAGAATTCTCCTTTCCACTCCACTTGGGGAGACCATCGGGACAATCTGACATGCGGGAGTTATAAAAGATATGACATCTGGCAGGATCATTAGTCTGCTCTCATGAGTATGGCACATGCACATACGTTGGGTTAAAAACCTCCCTCTTCTCTCTTTGCTCCTGGCTAGAGCCCTCGATCTGAATCAATTGAGGGAAGATCAGACACATATTCCGGCCTTCATCCATGATAGGTGTCCGACAATTGGCACAGGACACCTTGGTAGGCAACACGTGTTTCTGATTTCGATGTGTAGTAGAATAAAATGCCAGACCGCTCGCACCATTGGTGAATAATATGTCATGCTTGTGGAAAATAGCCGACCACTGAACAGGAGCTGCGTGGGTAACCCGACACACACGACAATGGCAATATTTGGCATTGAGTGGTTTCTCTCGCTTCAAGAGATAGGTGATCTTTCCACAGAAACACTTTCCACGCCATTCGATTGGGCCGAATTGTTCCCCGGATTTCACCTCGTATGGCGGGAGATGCTTCCAGCGTTCTTCGGGGATGGATTCTGAGAGTGTGTTGGTTTGTGCCTGGAAGGGAAGAGGGTCGACAAATTTGCGATTTATACCAGCCATGATGTGTGGTTTTGGGTAGTATGTCAATTGAGTATGTGATGTGAGGCAGTTGAAGTGTGTGATTTGCTTCTTCGTGTCTCTGCCCAGGTCCGTATGGACGAGAACCACGATGATGTCAACGGCCAATCATGTATGAATCCAATCCAGGATGGATTCTATGTCCATGCAACATTGTAATTAATCCAATAGATTTCATGAATTCCAACGAAAATGACGCTGTTAACTCAGTGATGTCATGTGAATTTCTCCATCATTTGAATGTCACGACCTGGAACCGTCTTTCTCCATAGTATTTGACCTATAAAAAGTCATTTCGTGTCAATTGTCTTCAAATTCTTTCATGGTGATCTTCGCGATATAGTCGATGCGATGGAACCCGCTAGACTGAAACGCCTGGGTGTGTTTCATGTTAGGGGCTGGGGCTGAAGGGGGGGAGGTGGGAGGGGGCCACGAGACCCTGCATTAACGTGCTTTGTCTCTGTCATCTCCCCTCTTTTAGCACTCACATTCTTCCACTTCCCAGTCAGAATGGGTCTTTTTGACAAGCTGCGTCGAAGCTCACGACGAAGCTCACGGCGAAGTGACCGCGAAACAACCGACCCGCCATCGCCCCGCGTTAACGTACCCGGCCGAGATTACACGAAACAGCTACCTCGACCAGTATTGGCACGCATTTTCTCCTTTGTTTGTCCTCACACCGCCGACAACACTTATGGAACCTCCGAGGAATCTGCCAGCGATGGCTGTATGCTGTGCGACATGCGCGACCTGGCGCACTGCACTCTCGTGAACAAGCGGTGGTTTTTGAATGCGCGGGCGCTTCTGTGGGAGACCCCCCGGGTCTTTTGCCAAGTGAAAGACTAACCCAGCCTGTTTAGTTATACCAACGTCCGAATCGACCCCGTCCATTACTGCGAACTCGAAATCGAATTAGCCGCCAGACGAAAACGCCGCTCGTTCTTTGATCGCAATGGCGATCCCATTGATGCCCCACAAGTCCGTCTGGAAATGTTTATGCGAACAGTGCGAGAGTCACAGGGGCTAGGCAATATGGTGCTGTCGCTCCGAATGCCATACATGACCCGCGAGGCCAACAAAGCCAACGTGGCCCGCACTATCTCCGTCCTTCCTAATCTCCGCTTTGTTGATCTGCCGGTGGGTTTGTACAGCGACGAGCCGTCGTGTCTACCCTTGAAACAGGAGCTGATGGCCCGATGCCCCGAGTTGCGTCGGATGGCCTATCGCCAAGGTGCCGAGGGCAGCTTTGCACGTCTACCGGGGTCCCAGCTATGGATGAATTTGGAGGTGCTGGAGCTATCTGGGGTTCAAATGGAGCCTAGTACTCTGCGCGGCGGACTTGGTTCATTTCCCCGTCTTCGTGAGCTCACGCTCGAAGACCTCAATTGGCTTGACGATTCTACATTTGCAGTGAACGTGCCTCTTCCGCCATTCCCGTCAGTTCAGTCTCTTACACTTCGCGATACCCCTAATGTCACGGCAAGCGGGCTTGCCACGTTCCTTTCCATACCAGCGAACCGAGCGACTTTGGTAGCTTTGATATTATCTTCTACCGGCGTTGCTCCGTCGCAACTACATTATATTCTCTCCGCCGCTCCGCGGCTTGAGAGCCTTTCTGTCATCCAGGAGGTCTCTCGCTCATTCCCCATGGAGCAAATTCCTCCCATGGCATCGAAGTCGCTGCATCTCCTGCACTATGAGCTCACATCCCAAACCGATAATCATGGAATGCCACCGGTGGTATCTTCGTACTATACCTATCTGATTTCATCGTTGGTGTCCCGAAGCTTACCAGCCCTTCGGGAGTTATATGTCCGTGATTCCTCATTCCCTGACACACTGTTGCTGATGCCCCCACCACGACTGTTCGGTGGTGGTGAAAACGGTCCGCAGATGCGGGGCGGTCTTTCGCAGCCCCTGAATGTGTACAGCAAGGGTTTGGATGAGTTTGAGTGGAATTTCACGCCGTACGACCCCAGCCCGGCGCCCGGACGCCGCGATTCAAGAACGCGCCCTGTGAGCTTTCACGAGGCCCAGCTCAACCGGTCTTGGGGCGGTGATGCTCGCAAGAGCGTGCTCGTGGGAAACGGGTTCGGTGGGTTCCTGGCTGTTCCGGCTGATGAAGAACGACCTATGAGTAGCCACGGACACCACAGGCGGTCTAGTAGACAGGACATATGGCGGTAGGGTTTTTATATATGGGATTCCACTGTATGGAATGGTCAGTGTCTTGAGACTTTTTGCTTGGGGTCAAAAGTGCGTCTAGCGGGACGAGGACCGCGCTTCATGAAATGATGATTGAGTACATAGGTCAGGTATCTAAGGGAAATGTTCAGTTCATTCAAGCATAGTCGGGCGATATACATGCGTGGCTAATTCGCGGTTTCGCTCTGTTCTGGCCATCCTTTTGGCAGCTGTAAACCGCGCCATACCCACTGCTTCTGGATGTCGCTGTCGGTCATATTACAATAACCGTATGTCTGGCAATAACATTCGCGTTGGTCGAGACAATACTGAGCCGGTTTTCCAAAAATCACTGTCGACGGCTGTTAGCAAGAAATCAAGCGATCAGCGCAAACAAGAGACCCACTATGCCATGAATACTCCAGTATACGCCCACTGATGCCCGCCTCCAAATCCGTGTCCATCAACCACCGCTGCAAACGAACGTAATTCTCAAGACTCTGCTCGTGGATCTTAGTCTTGGACAAAGCAAACTGACTACAACACGGTGTCCCGACAACTTCCGGGACTTCGGCGCGAGGAAACAACTCCATAAACCGATCGGGATACTCGACCGCGGTGGGATGTCCACTGTCTTCTGGTCTTTCGCGGAGATAGCGAGCGGGCTCGAGCTCTATGGGACAGCCTACGCTCCATGCGCAGCGCAGATTCACGTAACCAGCCTCTTGTACAAAGTCAAGGTTCAGATGGGAGATGGAGATCACGGAGTCGTAGAGCGGGTTATCGACATGCCATTGGTAGCGGCCACCGTGCAGGAAAACTGATACTTCAGGAAGGGACCAGTAACGATCAATAATATAACTAGTTCAGAGGTCAATTAGTATGGTAACAAGCTTGGGATTGAAGAAGTCGAAATATCAAAAACGTACGTCAGATATACCATAGCCTCATTGCCCTTATTTACCGGGACGGTCAAGCCAGCGTCTTTGTGCTTTGCATCAGCGCGATAAATATTCGCCTTCCAGTCTGACAGATGCTCCTCGACCCAGGACATGTCGCTGGCCTCCATAGCGGCGAAAACCAACTCCCTCTCAGCGGGTATAGGATCCGGAGCGAAGCGGTCGTCATCGCCGGCCACAATGATACCCTGAATGGTTGTCCAGCTTGTGCCTATATTCGGTGCTCTGTCGATAATCAGCTGATATGATAGAAGCAAGAATGTCACTGCTAGACCGAGGTAAATGAAGACCCGCGACCGTGGTGAGACACTGGCATCGCGGGGGAACGCGCAATCCCGAAGCGGGGAGTATGACGACCTCATTGCATTGTACTTATAAAGTGACAAGGAGATACAGATGGTATGGACAATAGACAGTAGACAACAAGTAGTGTTCAGGTCAGATGGCAAGAAGAATATAACAGGGCAGGCACTCTGACGTAGTGGACTGGGTGCATTTCCATGGTTACATGAGATATCAACATACTAGACACAAACCGTGGAAGGTGCAAAGGTACGAATAGCACCAATAGCAATGATTCAACTTGGTATCCACGGCTATTTAAAGACTCGAACTTAGGGCTGGACTAATACTGCAAACGGACATGCCGGGTCGAATGGTTTCAGTACATCGATGTATACTACAACATAGTACTACATGTACTATTGTAATATATACTGACATTATATCATACCGCGCAAATTGATTTGTCTCAGATTGTATTTTTCAGAAACAACTCGATTGGATAAACTTACACTTTACTCCAGGGCTATTAAGGGCAAATCGCCAAGAATGGCTGCCTTCCGGTTTAGGCTGTTCAGCCCGCCTTCAGGGCTATCAGAATATTAGTCATCCGTCAGGTGTACCCAGGTGCCCAATGCATCCTGGGACCCAGTTTTAGTGAAGATCGCCCATGGATCAATGAACTCAATCTGGTAATCTTTCATGTGCATACATTCTCTTTAATTGGATATAGAACTGGCTACATATCTACCGGATTAAACGAAGGCTATCTATGTATGCTTTTATGATATGATTCTCGGTGACATATATCTCGTTTTTAGGGTTTCAGGATAATTTCATTGCAAACAAACACGCGAAAAGACGATTCTATATGCGTAGCAATACAGTGAACAAAGGAAAAGGGAAGAAAGAATGAATACTGCTAAACAGTAATGTTAGGAAATGACTCAGCTGGGTTCATCATTTAAATCTAGCCTCAGTCAAATCAATCATGCTGCGGCGATTTCTCAAATTGTACCGGGTTTGAGCAGAATATTGCCTCTGACGTGCAGCCGATGCACGAGAAACTCGGCTCTGACGTGAAACCGATGTGCGGGATTTGCCTCGTGCCAAAAGAGGCGTGGACTGGACTGCCTGTTGTTGAGCTGGGGTTTGTGCAGAAAGGACCGCTGCCTGGATTGGCTGTCGGTTCCTCAGGTTGGAAGCAGTAGAGTCTGTATACATCTCTGAGTTCAATGGCTCTGGAAGGAAATTAATCTCCTGAGGCACAGTGACGTAGTCATACATGCTGAAGATTGAGTCCATGCACTGGGGTTGAGTCAAGACTGAACTGTGGATAGAATCCTGTGAGGTAAGTCCGGAGAAGTCGATATCAGGTAGACCGGCGGGATCAGAAGAGTTCAGTCCTGGTAGATCTAAATCCATATCTATGGGCACATCTAGGCAGGATGGATCGAAAAGCTGCAGGTCCAAAGTGTCATCATTCAACAACTCGCTGAAGTCAATATCTGGTACATCCGCTCCGCTCCAGTCCATCGTGTTTGCCCAGTCAATATCATTCAAATCGGCTGGGCCCGTGGAATATTCTTGTGGGAGTTGCGCATTGATCTTATCCATAGTAGTATCGCATAGAGCTTCGTCAAGGAAGCTCAGGTTCTCCGTCTGTTCTAGGGTGAAGTAAGGAAGGTCTGGGGTCTGCTGCACTGAGGCCTGGCTGCTCTGATTGAACGAGGAGCGTGTCTGCGTACTTTGCGAAGAGGATTGCATCTGCGTGCTTCGCAACGAGTAGCGTGTCTGCGTGCTGCGCAACGAGGTCTGTGGAGTAACAAAGGACCCAGTGGAGGTGCGCACAGGGGACGGGGTCCATGTAGGTGTGTTAGAAGGTTGCTGGTCATTAAAATCCTTGAAGGGTAATGGCTGCAAGTAAGTAACATACTGATAGTTTGACCGTCTGGGGTCTACCACCTGTGGGGGGAGTGGAGTGTGCATATAGGGGTGAAGGCACCTAATGGGCTCTGAGTTGCCTGGGAACTGAATGGTCGGAACTGTGATATCAATAGTATCCAGCCACAGTCCCAGAGCCAGGTCCCGATCAAAGTTCGGGCTCTTTCGTCGTAGTTCAGTAAACTCTGACTCGCCAAAAACTCTCACTCGCTTCCCATGTCTTGTGATCTGCTGAGGATTCAGTCGGTGATACCCACAATATCTAAGAACTGCAGGAAGCACCAACTCCGGCCGATAGTCCTTGACGGACTTTAAGCCAGTGATCTGGAAGTTATTGCTTCCATCAGGGATAGGCTCCCTACTATAGACTGCGTGAACTGCGTACTGCAAAACGAAAGCAGGAGCAGTATCCATGAGATCACGGAATCTGCGGAAAGCAATAGCCTGGAGCTCAGTAATTCTAAGAAGAAGAGCAGTTCGAAACATAGACAAGTGAATGCGCAAGAGCTGACAGATCTGGGGACAAGTCACGCAGCCACCAGGGCAGGCCTTAATCGAGTAATATCTCAAGTCTGCTTCGTCAACTGAATAGTCACCAGTATAAAAGAAATTAAGAAGGCTGTCAACCTGCTCAACACGTACAAAGTCAGGAAGAACAAGCTGCTGCTTGTCACCAGTCTTGTGGATTCGCCAGTCAATCCAACGGGTCGACTTGCGAATGACATCCAAGTGCACATCCCAGCCGCGTCGGCGGCTGTCTGGGTGTCGCAGCTTGAAATCGGAGTTGTGGATCTCGAAGTATCTAAGAAAAGTTAGTATGCCGTTTTATGGGGATGTTCTTTGTCACTAACTCGTTCTGCTCAGCTTGGAGTTGAGCCTTGCGGTTGCCCAGCTCACCCCAACCAAGCCAAACTCGGGGCAGGCCGGCATGAGCGTTGCAATGGTGATGGGCAGGCATGATTGCTGTAAGATAGTCCTTGAATAAAATGAGTTAGTTGGTCTGAATGAGTTAGATGGTAGTAAATACTGAGAATGCGATTGTAGATGTGAAGTGTGATGAGGGATGAGGATTGTGCCGGGACATCGAACCTCTTAAATACTCGAGAGAGAGTTCTATTTTCACAAAGTTATTGATTCTTTGGAATTTGAACGATGCCAATAAAGTAACAAAGCCAATAAAGAGTCTATAAATACTCGGAATATCAGACGCGAACGTTTCTTTGTCCCTTGGCTATCCTACGACACACAACCCTTGGACTCAGATCAAGCAACGAGTTGTGATTGACTGGATAATATTCCTGTTCCTGTTATAGATTGTCTAAGCATGGCCATTGTGTTTCTATGTCTTCATTGTCGCCAATATCCCTTTGGGCTCTTTGAGTTCTCGCCTGAAGAACAACTATAAACAATAACATTTGTGCCCTCTATTCTGAGTGTGAAATTCTTAGAGACATGAGTAGTGGGTTTCAAATTTTGTGCATGTCTATCGCAATAACTGCGATACTGTCCACTCAGAACAGAGCTATTGGTTTTGAGCTCTGTCTAGCATTTCCCCTTGACCACCAACACAGCCGCATCATGACTCTTCAAGGAAGCCTTGTACTTATTCTTCACACAGCCAAGTTTCTTGCCAGTCCAGGCATCAATAACCTGGTATGCATCATGACTCTTAAGCTCCGGGATCTCGCGCCATGTCGCAGTGCGAGTAGAAGTGACATTCTCAGAGTTCAGCATAAGCACCAAAGTGCCCTCCAGGGTGGACGATGCACCGGACCAATATTCCGCTGGATGCACCGGGTCGAAAGTCTTGTCGGGGTTGTATCCCCACTTGTAAGGACGGGCAGGAGTTCCAATAACAGGGTCTTGATTGAAGTCAAGAAGATACTTGTTCTTCAGAATGGCCAAGTGGGCATCGTCGATAGAATCGAGCTATGTATTTGTCAGTATATCTTGCTATTAGGATATGGCATTCGGAGATATCACATACCGCCGTGCCAATGATCAGAGGGGACTTCATGGCGGCCCAAAGTGCAAAGTGTGCTCTATTTTCCTCAATGGTAAGGTCTCCATTACCAACCTCCAACATGTCCGGGTCGGCGCGACCCCAGAAATTGACGTGGTCCATATAGAAGCTGTTCTCATTGGCAATTTGCGCAATACGAGCCCAATCCACTGAATAAAGAGTTAGCCACTAAATCTCCTCGCTCCGGTATCAGTCAAGCAACTTACCGGTGATATCGCCAGACATGCGCCATGAGTTTCCGGTTTCATTGCCCCAGGAATTCACGTTAGCCTGACCCCAGCCACAGAGTGAATAGAAAATGGTCCGGTCGACGTCGAGCAACGCATCGCGCATTGCAGTATACCGCTTGTATGTGTTGGACGTTTTCCAGTCATATCCTTCTGGGGCGGCGTTGGTGTTATCAGGACATTTGCCATCAGGGTAGGGGCCGTCACCGTCGGGGACACAGTAAGTATATTTATCTGTCCAGTTACTGGGGACACCGCAATTGTCGTATTTGAGGTCTGCGGGTTTCAGTATTTGGCAGAGACGGGTTGGCAGGAATAGAAGGAAACGTACAGTCAATACCCCAATCAGCAAAAGACTGCGCGTCGACTGTCTCATATCCCAGACTAGCGGGATAGTGAGCGCAAGTCTCCTCGCCAGCACCTAGCAGATATCAGATATGATTTTTGGTCGACACGGAGAGGGAGGGGTTACTAACTGCTGTAGATTCCGATTTTCAGTCCCAAATCATGGACTTTCTTTGCAACACCAGAAATACCGTCGGGGAACTTGGCTGGATCTGGAATCATGCGATTGGTGCTCTTGTCGCGGGTGCCCTTGACACTCCAGCAGTCATCGACTAGAAAGGGTCAATGATTTAGAACCATTTTTCTTATCCAGATTCAGTTCATACTATTGATATATTCATATCCCAGATCTTTCAGTCCAAGATTGATAACCTCATTGGCGGCGGTGACGACCTTCTTAGAGTCGATATCACATCCGAATGCATTCCAGGAATTCCATCCTAGAGCAGGCAATTTGCCCTATTTCGAGTCAGTATTCCTGTGACGTCTTTTATTCAGAATGAACAGCAGGAGGAAAAGAACATACAACATCATTCTTCCTAACCAGAGCATTTGCTGCTGGTAGGAAAGGCAATGCAACGGCAAGAGTCAATGGTCCTAGCATGTCTTCGAGTTGTACATCGCTTCTTTTCTGTGCTGATTGACTAAATCCTGGGGAACATGTGGACCTTTATAACCCCAGACTTGTGCGGTTGTGCGGGGAATAGCCAATGTCACCGTGATCAAATTGGCAATAAACTAGCGATGTCGATTATCGTAGACAGTACTAGACAGTGGTTATTGTTTACATGCAGAAATAGATTGTTATATGTCCTCCGTACGGAGTACAATGTGCATGACCGTAGCTTTAGATATTTTCCAGCAATGAGGTTTCAGCATCGCCTTCAAATGTTCCTAATTGGGGTTGACGGGGACGGGCCGGGACGGAGAAGAAGACGGAGGCGGGGGACGGGAAAAGTAAAAGAACCATCGGGGAAGCATAATAAATAACATACATATGTAGGTAGAACCTGTCAAATAACAGAAAAGGCGCATTTGGACAATGCAGATCAATGCTAGAAAAGGGTATCCTGAATACTACATCATATATCAAAGGGAAAAGGCGACTTTTTGGCTTCTAACCATCATGATACATATCTATCGTAAAATCATTAGTCGTACAATATACACCGCCATGCTTCCACTCAAATGCATATTAAAAAAGAAGTGCGCTTCACCTCGAAAAGGGAGAGAGGGAGAGAGACGATCACGCAAGCAGCTATTGCTTTCCTAATATCAAGGCACGGGCCTGGCGTGGATCTGTGCCAAGGACAGTGATGAGATACTCGATGCTAGCTTCGGAAGCTAAGCGGCGTTTCTCATCATTGAACTCCTTGTTGCATGCATCCCAAGTTGCGTTCCGTTCTTGACTTAGGATTGTCTTAGCCCGAATTTTAAATGCCGCACTGACCGGCCGGTGGTCGGAAGCGCGGACCTCGTGTCGCCGATAGTCGAGCTGCTTGACACGGCCCAGGCCACGGTAAAGGATGCGGTCGCACCAGGCAGGAGAGCGTTTCTTGTCACTAGAGTCGTAATCGTCCGTGCCGACATCGTACTTGTAGGTCGGGGCGAAAGTAATAGGTGACTCGGTGAAGGCGCGCAGGCGGAAACCGGGATTCTTCCGCCGAGAAGCAAGTAGCTGGTCTCGATCCAGGAGTTTGGGTAGGTTATTCTGGCGAACTGCGTCGATGATCACATTGCGAGGAATTGCATCGATTCGGTAGTTCAGATCTCCGTTCAGAATGCACACTTCATGATCCATGATCATTGAGCCATCACCACCACTGGTGAACTGATCTGACCGCAGGGTCATGCTATTTTCCACAGGCAGGGACTCGGCTTCTAAGATAGCAGCAATATCGTTATTTCGGTTTGCCGTCTGAGTTTGGCCGGCTGCCAAATGGCAGTTTACAAAGCATATCGAGCTATCGTCTAGGACGAACCGCAAGACAAGGGCACCCTACTACAATTAGATAAAAGCCATGGCAAAGACCGTGGACATCACGAACCTTGTTCCCATGTAAACCGCCCATCCCGCGCTTAATCTCCGAAGCACTGACGTTTTTGATACTATGGCGTTCCTTGTGTTTGACGAAAGCGCAAGTGAACAGTCCCACCATGTTCGCAGTATGCAAAAGAACGTAGGATTCCTCGAGAGGCATGCATTCGTGAAGAGAACGGCTAAGATGATCGATCCAGACTCGATACTGACGACTCATGTGTTCCTTCTCACCGTTCTCTTTCTTTTTACTACCAAGCAGCAAGCTCTCTGTGGCCATGTCAGCGGACATATCTGTAAAAAAAGAATGGATGACTTACTAGCTGTGATCTTCTTATTCTCAAGATCAACCAACTCCTGGAACCCAAATACCACGATGTCGGGCGGGTCTTCGGGGGTGACTGCATTTCGGATGAAATCCGACGTTCGCACACTGCCAGGGGTAGCAGCTCCGGCATTCCAAGTTAAGACGACAGCCTTGATTTCTCGGAAGTTGCAGAACTCCACGTCTCTCGCCTGCATCCGCGCATCTACTATATATTAGTGGAAGCCACCAAGGGACGAAACCAATATTTTGACTTACCTAACCAGTCATCCTCGAGCATTCCGTCCCAGAGACGAATGCAATTATCAGTGCCCAGCGAGGTCACCTGCAGGCGGTTCATAGTCCATACGCTGCTCATGTCTAACACGAAGCTAGATACAGGACTGTCGTGGGCACGCCAGTCTTTCTTCACGGTCCAAGGGTTGGTGGACACATCGTAGACATAGATCATGCCGGTTTTATACGCAGCCCAAAGATAGTCTCCGACAAATCCAAGGCAGTTGATTTTATACACACTGACGTTGACCACCGCCAAGCAAGTAAAATCAGTTGAGGAGTACACAGTAACCTTGCCGTCTGCGTGTCCCAAATATACTCGACCTCCATCTCGCGTGGTATAAGAACCGGAAGTCACGTCGCCTGAGTGCTGAAGACCGAGAGGTCGTTTGAATACCTTGAATGGGACATCATCCTTTGCATTGGGGCGATATATATGGACATCTTTCCCTGCTGCCAGCCACAACTTGTCATCAACTACCATGGAGAATGTGTGGCCTCGGGCTACACGTTCGGAGGGGCTGTGGTAGCTGTATTGCAAGTTGGGTGTGCCGGTCTCGTCTGGTAACCAAACAAGCAGTCGGCCTTCGTCATCAAGCGTCCACATTTCTTTCTTGTGTCTCAAGATTTGGATTACTTCTCGGCGGGAGGGGTACGCGCGGGTGGCCACGATGGATTGGCTCGGGATATCAACTTCGTGAAGATCTCCAGCGCTGGTACCGAGCCAGACACGCTCACCCTCGTCTTCAAGACCTTTTCCTGGCTTGAAAGCAAGCGATAAGCTTTTCACGGTCTCGCCATGGCTGAGACTCATCACTTGGTCACCAGTTGTAAGATCCCACACCCGAGTCAGATACCCAGTTGTGCACACATACTTGCCGCACACAGCCAGTAAACGGGTATCATACTTCGTCAGGATGTCTTTCGGTCCAGTTTTGAAGCGTGGGGGCCGGCGGTTAGCTTTTGAGGCATCGGGATAGTCGGTCCGCGAGATAGTTGGCTCTTCAACCTGCTCGTCTTCCTCCGTGTCTGTACGCACCACGCGCCGCTCAGGGAGAGACGACGACAGGTGAGATTCACGGGGTAGAGAGGGTTGGCGCTGGATTGGTTTGGGGGCTGAGGATTCGCTAGCACGCGGGAAAGAAGGAGCGGATCTGGCAGTCGGCGTCAGCTGCGCCGGGCTGCTTATATGCCTGGGAGAGTCTCGCGCGGGAGAGACTCCGCTACGGCGTGGAACCCCAGAAGGTCGAGGAGGAAGCCCTGGGCGGTCGTAGGGAATGTCACTTGCTCGGGATCTCCGTGCCGAAAGAGGTGTAGCACCGGCAGCAGACATAGGAGCGTCTGCGGGAGCAGATGGAATCTGCACCATCAAGGGCTTGGAGGACCGTGAGGGCTCTGGACCAGGAGGGATCCTCGAGAATCCCATCTCTCTAGCGTCATGCCTGGCGTTCGCATATGGAACAGGTGATCGCTCGTCGAATGAACGTCGAATCGGTGGCTCCGTCGTTGGCCGAGCTGGTGCTGGCTTAGCACTGCTCTTCCCAGTAGATTGCGGTTTAGCGATATTCTTCTCCGGGCTACCAGGAGGGGTGCTAAAAGGTGAAACACTTCGATCGGGTGATGCTCGTCCTGGTCGAGGATTCAACGAGCTGGTGTCAGGGTGAGAAAACATAGCCGGTTTCGCCGGGATTTTGGGCTTTGGTGCGCGGTTAGCGGGGGGTGGCAACGAGGCGCTTTTTAATTTCCGATCAGCTGAGCTCCCAGTGTGATTGACACGGAGAGACCCAGGCGACACCCGAGGCATCGTATCCCCTGCATTAATGGACGGTCCAAACTTTGGTATCGGGGAGAGCGGGCGAGGTGGTGCCGGCGAGACGGACATCGATTCTCGCGGGCGATGGCCTGGACTCCGAGTTTTGCGGCTGTCACCATACGGAGTCGAAATTTCATCGCGATCTTGTCCGCGCGGCGGCGATTGGGGCGACTGTACTGTCAAGGTTGGCGGTAGTTGTGGCGATGAACGGTGCAAGTTCATAGACATGGGCCGGCCATATCGTCTACCGGAGAACCCACGCTCCCGGGAGTTCTCACCATTCAACTGCTGAAGCGGGTTTGGTCTATCCTCAACCGGAGTCCATGGGGAATGTGCTCGGGGCAAGTCAAGTGAAGCACGGCTGGAGGATCGGAGCTCATCGCTAGGCTCCGGAGTTGCCAGTAAATGGGTTGTGGAAGTGCGCGGGCTGGCAGCTGCAGCAGAGGGGGCTCTGCGGTGAGAAAGATTCTCGAAGTGAGAGAGTAAGGAAGACACCGGTCTCTGTGGCTGCGTTCATGTTAGTTCATTGTGTGCAACAAAACAGTTACGTATGCATACAGTGGGAGGAGCATCATCATTGTTGTCCGGCTGTTTCCCTGCGCCCGCCATGGCCATTATCACGGATCCGTCGCCGAGGCCAGCTGGAGTAATAGATCATAGACTTGGAGATATCTCCTTGGGGCTGCGCGAAGGCAGTAAAGTAGGTGTTGGTGGGTACGGAACTGAGGCTACAGGGATATCGTGGGGCTCGGAGTATGGAGAGAGGAGACGACGTAAGCGGCGCAAAGGCCCAGTAACAGAAGACGAAGCTTGGCCGTCAAGAGTTCGAGGAATACCGAGGGATATCCAGGGGTATAAAATGGGGCGAAAGGCGAAAGTCGATGAAATGGAGTGGCGGGGAGGAAAGTGGAGGGAATCACGGGAGTTGGCGATCACTTTGTGTCTGCCTTTCTTCGGACTTGAGCATCGACATCTCGCACTTGGCCGTCACTTTTCTTTTGCATTTCATAGCCATGTGGTAAGTCTGCTTCTTGCGATATTCTGGAGAATGCTCATGCTCGAGTATCCCCTCAATTCCTCTGGTCCAAAATTCTGATAGCTAATACAATCTCCCCGCTTCGCAGTAAACACATTCTGAACGCCCAAGTGGCCATCCGCTCGCACTGCTGTATGCTCCAGTGGACCTCGAATTTGATCACAGGGGATTGACCAAAGAGATCTAGGCCGAAAATGGTTTGACTGCGCCCAATGCCACCAAGAGAGCGAGTCGCACATGCTCCAAAAGAGCGCCGAGATGGTACGCCCCTATTCTCCGGTTAGCGCAAGTCCGGCAGTCTGACATTCCATGGGATAGATCTTTGCATGCAAGAAGTGCAAGAAGTGTTTCCGCAAGGACGCTGCTGAGTTCGATGAAACGTAGGCAAGGAACGATTCAAAAGCCAAGTGGCAGCGGGCTAATTTGGCTATTAGTGACGAGTACTGCCCACACTGTGATAATCACTTTGTCATTGAGGCAATCGAGCCCGAGGCACGACTACACGTAGAGGGTGAAGATGCTCGTATGGACAACCGGTATGTCAAGCAGCCAAGCCTTTTGATTGACGGGATGCTGACCATATCAAGTATGCTCAAGGACGAGCGTGTTGCGCGCGACAAGGAGCGATCCCTCTTCAATATTAGAGATGTGTCGGACCGCATGGGCTAAACTGTGCACTTTGTTGGGGCAAAAAGACAATTGGCAGGCGCAATTTCATGATGTTGACGATTTGATGGTTACTGTTTCTGCGATAGTTCAAGGCAGATGGAAATTCCCTTGGCATCAATACCCTTTTCTGCGTTGCTGTACAATATACGATACGATAGAAACCGGGAGATGTGTTTTGAACTTCATGATTTCGGATTCTCGTCCAGGAAAGAGACCCAACGCTACTGTAAATTGAAACAAATCAATGATCCAGTCACCTCCCAGGCTCTGAATCTTTCCAAGTCTAGCACTTAATCGGTCGACTCGCCGCCACCCGGCCGGGTGAGGATAGCCGCCGTGGTGGTCCCTGCCCGGGTCTTCTTCTTGGCCGCTTCCTCCTGCTTCTCGGTCTCGATGGTCTTCACGTACGACTCGATCTGGTCATCTGGGAGCATCTCAAGAGTCTTACCGGGCGCCATGATGGCGACCTCGATGTTCTTGGCACCCGTCTGCACAACCTCAAGCAGAGACTTGATGGTCAGCTGGATTGTCTGCTCACGGTCCATGTCATCCTGGTGGTTACGCTCAAGGAATTCGCGGACGGTCTTGCTAGAACGGCCGATGGCGTTGGCTTTCCTGTAGCGAGGAAAAGGAGATTAGCGTTCATTCACTAGGAAACATAGGCTCGAAAAGACACCCACCAAGCTGAGTAGATTCCGGACGGCTCGGTCTGGTACAGTCGCGGGATGGAGTCGTTCTTGTCAAATCCAACCACCAGCGTACTGATACCAAACGGACGCACACCACCACTCTGTGTGTATCTCTGCTGAACACCAGCAATATATTTCGTAATATACTCGATGCTGCAGGGGTCCTCGACTGTCAGGCGGTGGGACTGAGCTTCTAAGCGGGCCTTGTCGATAAGGATGCGGGCATCGGCGTTCAGTCCAGCAAAGGCGAGACAGGCGTGCTCATCCACCAGGGCGATCTTGGAGGGGGTAATGCGGGTATCTTGGAGCTTGAGGGCGGAACGCTTTTCGCAACCGAGGACGACGATGTCCTTGCCTTTCACACCAACAGCGCAAGTTCCTAGAATCACCGGTCATCAGCAAACCGTGTCTTCTGATGAAGAAAATGGGAGCAACGGCAGAAAACGGAGCAGAGAGAGCTGCTAAGGAAGCAATAAAGGCGATCTTACCTCGCTTCACAGCCTCCATGGCATATTCAACCTGGAAGACGTGTCCATCAGGACTTGGGAGAGAGTTAGAAAGCAAAGCCCGGAGCTGAAGCGTAGCTTGAAGGCCTCGTACCTGAATACTGCAGTAAGTTAGCATGGTATAGCTTTCGTCCTGGTCAGGAGCAAAGGGAGCTGGACGTGGGGAGCTATCTTACCTGAAAGAGCTCGGTCGTATCCGGACATTGTGAATCAAGGAGTCGATGATTGGGTTATTAAAGGTTGTTGTAAATATCAAGTTTAAAGGAAGTAATGAGGTAGAATAAGGGCAATGCAGAGTGTCAAGTAGCTGAGGTCAATTGGGTTGGAGCAATGACGGGTTCCGGGCGGTGGACGCGAAAGCCTACGGCTGCCTCAAGCGGCCTCACGGTACTTCCGTTAAGTATGAACGCACCATAGTAATTCCATGTACCTCGCAGTTGACCTATTTTTCTAACAGTCTTTCAATATAGGTGAAATCATATATGGATGCTTCGTTGGAAGGAAGACTCAAAAAAACCTGGATCCATGAATCCACTTAAAAACCAGGCAAGCGATACACCTATAAGAGTAAACATATATATAAAACACCGAATCTACTAGAATTTTATATAGTCCTAACATAATGAGAATACATATGAAAGTATAGACACAATGATTTTTTTGCATTCACAGTGCTTCGACCCCGAAGAGATGCTCGATTCGATGCCCAAGCTTCAAAGTAAATCCCCAACACCCCAAACGGAGTCCCAGTATATCCCCACCCAGATCAAGACCGTGAATTCTCCGACGCTTCCCATGAAAGAGTGCAGAAAGGGAGCCAAATATCTAAAATGCAATGCCAAAAGCAGGGCAAACCCAACGCAAATGTGTCCATGCCTGCAGACAATAGACCAGAGATGGGAACATTCGAAAAATACATGCACCACACACCCCTAAAGGGGCTTATCCCCTAAAAAACAACCATATAGCGCAAGATGGAAATCACAAATATGGAAAAGAAACAAAGAAACAAAGAACAGACCAAAACCCAACGATAAAAAAGCATCACGCAAAAAAGCACAGGGCGGCGAAGGCGACAGAAAGAAATCCGAAATCTTCGACAACGCTAACCCGCCTGCTCCTTCCAACCGATGCACCAAAACCGCAGAATCCCTTATACAAATGCGTATCAACGAATATCAACCAACGCAGAAACCCGCCACAATGCAGGGTTGCAATATGGACAACATAAGCGTGAGCGCCCAGTTCATGAGTGGGGCGTGAAGTAGGTACAACTAGACCCATATTTAAGCGGGCGACTTGTTGGCACCGGAGCCGTTTCGACGAGAGTGGGCATCATCCGACACTGTCAGACCACCGAGGCCACTTGACAAGAAGGCGAAGGGGTCACTGGCACCATCGGTACCGTAGAAGGCACCGTTCGAAGCACTGCTGGAGGGAACACCGTGGTCCGCACCAGTGAAAGCGGCCTGAGTGGCCGGGTTGGCGAAGGAGGCGGCCGAGTGCGAGGTGCTGGAAGAGCCGTAGCCCGAGTTCATCTGACCCATGGGAGGGTACGGGCCGGGTGTGTTGTTACCCAGACCACCGGAGGGCAGAGCGTAGTTGTTGGGCGGGCCGCCGAACTGCTGGTTGAAACCACCGAATCCGCCGGCGGTGGAGGCGAAGGGAGCAGGGGCAGGAGTGCTGGCCATCGAGTTGGGCCCCATATTGAACTGCGACGGTGGATCCATCGGGGACGGGAATGCCGAGTCTGCCACGACGGCAGCGCCCGACCGAGGGGCACCGCAGCGTAGACAGTTGATGTTCTTCGCAAAGTTGTGGTAGCCACAACCTTCAGAACCACACTTCCAGTCACCAGCGCGGAAGGGGACAACGCCGCCGTTGCCACCCATACCACGCGAGTGACCACCACCCATACCGTGACCACCGTGGCCCATGTGAGGAGGCATCATTGATGGCGGGCCGTAGCCGTAGTTTCCGTAGTTCATCGGGTCGGGTGCGGCCGCCATGGCGGGGAACGAGCAGCGGAAGCATGCTGTGCGGCGCTGGAAGTTAGAGAAGCCGCAAGACGGGCAAGTCCAGTCACCAGGACGGGGGCGGTTCTTGGAGGGCGGGAAAGGAGTGAGGATCTCGGCGGCCCGGTCCAGAACCCTGCTAGAAGAGGGAGACACCTCAATCGCCTTTTCATTAAGCGCACGGCCGTTCATGCACAGGCTTTCAGCAGCCTAGTAGACAGTCAGCAGGCAAAACATAAGCATAGAAAATAGGAAGTTTTGTATCATAGAACAGTCCCAAAACCAGGATAAAAACTCACCTCCTCGTGGGAAGAGAAGACGGCAAAGCCCGTGCCAGTGGGCTTGTGCTGGTCTGGTGTCCGCAGAGTCCAGAAGGCAATGGGACGACCACCGAACTGGGTGAACCAGCTCTCCAATTCAGACTGAGTGGTATCGTGGGGCAGGCCACTAAGGTGCAGGACCTTGCTCCGTTCCGCTAAAAAGGCCCGAACATCGGCATGGGCATCCATAGGACGAGTGAGGATCTCCGGGTGTTCCTGGGGCGGCTGCGACTTGCGGATCAGGCCACGAAGCACACGGGCGAGAGTGACGGATTCCTCCATGGCCCGGCGGGGCGAAGCGGGGGCCAAAGCTTGCAAGTGGAAAGGAAGGTTGTGCTTAATCGGGGCGGACGACTGAACGGGCTCGACCTCCAGGGCAGCGCAGATGTTGGAAAGCGAGCTGGGTCCGAAAGGCAGCGACTCGGGATGATGGGTCTGCCAGCGTTGATATTCGGTTCGCAAGTCGAAAGTGCGGGAATGCTGCAGGTATGCGGGCAGCACGACAGCCTTGTCGCGGGCCTCGCGGGGCAGCTGCACCCGCAGATCCCACGAGTCCAACGTCACAAAAGCAAACTCGAGGTGTTTGCTAGTGAGGTGTTCCTGGGCGAAGGCGTCAAATCGAGAGATGGCATCCCGGAAAGTGCCTGCGGAGCGAACGTGTTCCCATGTCAAAGTGGTCAAGCTCGCTTCAGAGAATTGTCAGCCAAAAATGGATTCCTAGCAAAACCCAATGCAATCTAAGGTTGTCTCAAGGCGATCTTACTGCAAAGCGGGGTGATTGGAGTATTGACGGGCTTGACGAGAACGCTTTCACGGTGCAGCTAAACAATTGGGAAAAAAGAGTGTCAGCTTTTGGGTTGACCTCGGGAGTAAATTGAATGTTGGGTAGAGAGGACGTTGGGGGGAACGGACTTCCTCGCAGGTCTTGGTGTCCAACAGAATCCATCCTAACTCAATGACCTCAGCCGAGTCCTTAGTGACATATACGCCATGTTCGTCGCAGGTGGTTGCAACGTGGATGACGATGTATCGATCCAGCTTGGGGGTTGGTGCTGAAACGGCCGCCATCGCTGAC